TGCCTGACCTAATTAAATCTATACCATGGTCTCTATGATGAGGGGACTATGATGATACCTACCGTACAGATGAGGGAAACTGAGTCATCAAGACACCACGTGACTTTCCCAGAGTCATACGACATGTAAATGGCAGAGCCTGGAGTTGACCAAAGTCTTCCAATCTCCAAAACACGTGTTCTTAACTACTAGCCTGTCCCAATTGTGATGGGACAATCCCCTCCCCCAATTCCTGGGACACACCGCCATCCTTCAAAAGCAGGCACTCAGTAAACTGGAAGGACAGAAGGCAGCCTTTTATGATCAATTCAAAGAGGAGGAGAGAGGTAGAGACACTTTAATCCCACAAGGCTGAGAAGTTCTGTACGTTCTGTAACTCCTGGTCCCATGAATTGAGGAGAGGGGTGTAGATTGACCTGTGGACACTTAATTCTAGGGAACACTCATTCATTGCTGGTGGGAATATAAAATCATTCAGCCTCTGTGGAAACAGTCTGGCAGCTCAAAAAGCAATTCCACTCCTAGGCATGCACCCCAAAGAACCGAAAACAAGTGTTCCAAGAAACGCTTGTACACGAATGTCCGTAGCAGCATCGTTCACAATAACCAAAAGGTGGAAACAACCCAAACGTCCGTCAACCAATGAAAGGATAAACAAACTGTGATCGGTCCATGCAATGGAATAATATTCAGCCACAGAAAGAAATGAAGTACTGATCCTTGCTACAAGGTAGTTGATTGCATGAATTTGCAAACGTTATGCTGAGTGCAAGAAGCCAAACCCAAAAGGTCACATATTGTATGATGCCATTTATATGAAATATAAAATAGGTAATCCATAGAGACGAAAAGTAGGTTGGTGGTTGCCCGAAGCTGAAGGGGACAGGGATAGGGAGTGACCCAGGTTTTCTTTTGGAGTGAAGAAAATGTTTTGGAACTAGATACAGGTGGCAGTTGCACAATATCACGGATGTACTAAATGTTACTGACTCATACACTTTAAAACGCTTAATTTTATGTGATGTGAATTTCACCTCAATAGAAAAAGAAAAATAGCCGAGTCCTCAATCACGATAAGCACATTTCAAGTGCTCAATAGGCAGTCATGGCCAGTGACCACCATACAGGCCAGCACAGATACAGAACATTTGAATCATCATAGAATGTTCTATTAGATGATGCTGGTCTAGAGTTTCCTACAGTCTATCTCTGGCTGTGTTTTTATGGTGTCATTTAACTTGTTCCTCTGTTCACTGTATTTCTTGTAAACTATAGTTACATCTGGAAGCTTAATCAATTTCGGGTTTAGTTATTCTGGTGAAAATATTGCATAGGTGCTGCATCCTTCCTTCAGGGGGCACATGATGTTTGGTTGTTTCTTTTGCATGTGTGTGCTCACACACACACACACACACACACATACACACACACACACACACGATGAAAAGTGTCTTTCCCGTCTCATTGGCCAAAGGAAGTCACATGACCAAGGCCAACATCAATGGGCTGGGGATGTATTCGGCTGACTCAGGAGCGTCTCTAAAGTCACATGAAAAAGTCACGGATGTATAGTTCTATAACATGGAGGGAGTGGAGATTCGGAAGTAATAATCCAACCTATCACAGGGGAGATTATTTTTTACCGAATGAATTTTTCAGAAACGACTCTCCAAGTCACAGAGAAGTGAAGTAACTTGCCCAAGGTCAGAAAACTGGCAAGATCTGAATGCAGGCAGGCTCGTTCCAGAGCCAGGGATTGTAACTGCTCCACTACAGGAAAATAATGGCGGTCACCACTGGGGCTGTCACGGTTTCAAACAGAGCCAGAGAGCAAAGGGCTCAGTACAGCGCTTGGCACAGAACCCTGGCACACTGCTCAGGATTCACGCTGTTTGTTTCCATCACCTGACTCCAGGTTGGCCTTGGCTTTGGTTTGGAGGGATTTTCAGCCCCTGGCAGTGTTCCAAGAATGCCAGCTGGCCTTTATAAACCCGTAGTGTGAAGCGTCAGAGTCAGGGGAAGGGAGAGTAGAGATAAAATCAGATCACTAGAGGTAGCTGCAGAGAGGTTTGGAGCGATTTCCCCCAGTCGTGGGCAGTAGGGAGGGTGAGTCACGCAAAGGTGAACATCAGCAGCTGAGCAGATGTACAGGAGAAAGTAACCAGAGATAGTGAAAGCTTATCAGAATTGGCTGTGAGCACAGGTATGGGATTTTGTTGCCAAACTCTAGTTCCCTGTTGACAAGACAAACATTTTTTTTCCAGTATCCCAAGGCCAGTCAACTCCACCTTCACAGTGCTGCTCATAGGCAGAGTGGGAGGAAGCTGGGCAGGGCTTTGCTATCGCCTTTTATGTAACAAATGGGATGGAAATGACACTGTATGACTTCCAAGGCTAGGTCACAAAGGAGACGCGGCTTCTGCCTGTAACCCTGCACCCTCTCCCTTTTCCTCGGGATCCAGCTGACATGATGTGAGGAAGCCTAATCAGCCACATGGAAAGGTGACATGTAGATATTCGAGTCACGGCCTCCAGGTGAGGCTGACAGACAGCTTCAACTGTCAGGCAGGTGGGTGAGGAAGCTTCAGATCATTCCAGCACACGGCCTTTAAGCTGCTCCAGCTGATGCCACGTGGAGCAGTGACGAGCTGTCCTCACTGAGCCTTGCCTAGATTTACGTTCATGAGCAAGATAAATCTTCCCATCAGGGTGTTTTGTTTTGTTTTGCTTTGTTTTTAGACAAGGCAACCCTTGCTTGACCTCACAGATCGCAAGGACCTTGTCAGCTTACAATCTCTTATTTTTTATTTTTTACTCCTACAACACCTGGTCTTCCTAGGTGGTCTCCCATCCAAGTACTAACCAGGCCTGACATTGCTTATCTTCCGAGATCAGACAGAATCAGGCTTGTTCAGGGTGGCATGGCCATAGACAGGGTTGTTTGTTTTGTAAACTAAACACAGGAGTCCCCAACCCTTGGGCCATTGACTGCTACCAGTCCGTGGTCAGTTAGGAAGCGGGCCGCACAGCAGGAGGTGAGCGGTGATCAAACGTGCAAAACTTCATCTGCGTTTGCAGCCGCTCCCCAGCACTAACATCTCTGCCTCAGCTCCACCTCAGATCCTCAGGCATTAGATTCTCATAGGAGCACCGGTCCCTGGTGCTCAAAAGGTTGGGGACCGCTGAACTAGAGAGCTTTCTGTTTTTTCCCCACGTGAGGAGACAGAGAACTTCATTCAAATCTAACTTAAATATCACTTCCCTGTTCAAAACTCCCTGTGTCTCCACCTCCCTTAGAGTGAAGTTTAATGCTAACCTAGATCATAGACATCTGGTGCATGTGTGTGTGTGTGTGCGTGTGTGTGTGTGTGTGTGTGTGTGTGTGTATACACACACATATATGTTTTATTTCTGTTTTAAAGTTTGTTTGACAAGTATCGGTTTTCCTTGGGACTGTAAATCCCTGGGATTGGCTACCCGCCATGACTCCGATGGCCCCTGCTTCCTCAAATAGCACTGCGCTTCCCCTGCGGCCCTTTCTAATTCGGGCCTCCCCGTTTCTTCATGCTCTGCCTGCCTCCACCACTGAGGCTTGGGAGGGATTTTCTGTTTATCAAAGTTCTTTTGGGTGCAAGCAGCTGAAATCAACTCAAACTAATCTAAACACACGGTAAATAAATAAAGCAATATTTAATAATAACAGCAACAATCAAAATAACCCGTAAAGGTTCCGAGCCTTACATTGGAGTTCAGGCATGGCTAAATCCAGGCGCCCAAGTGCCTGGTCAAGACTGTCTTTCCCTTTTGCTTCTGCTTTCTTCTGTGTTGACTTTCATCTCAAAAAGCCTTTCCTTTCTTGGTGACAGAGTGAGTCCCATCGGCTCTGGCTCACTTTCCAACAGCTTGGCGACTCTCAAAGAAATAGAAAACCTCTTTCTTGAGAGTTGCAGCAAATGAGCTAGGTTAGGTCACACATCTTCCCGGAACCGATCACCGTGCCCAGGGGAACAGAAGAAACCAGCTGATTGGCTGGGTCTGGATCCTATGTCCCTGGAGTCGATGGGGTTACGGGAAGCCGTATTCAAATTAAATGGACTGAGAGGGAGAGAAGCCGTTCCCCAGAAGACAGCTGAGTGGGATGCTGGTTGGGCGAAAACCACAAACTTCTGCTATAGTGTCCTCTTCCCCGCTTAAGTTGCACCAGAATCTTGGTCGGCTGTGGATTAGCGCCCCGTGGACACACACACACACACACACACACACACACACCCTGCGCCTATCCGATCATAATGCTGTCACCACCCTTGGCCACTGGGTACGCCCTCCTTACTTCACTAGTAGAAAGAGACCATTTCTCTGCTCTTTTTGAATGTGGGTGTGGTTGAAAAGGGAGTTTGAAAGGCAAGGAGGCAGAGACGGTGCCAGACTGGAGGGGTGGGGACAGGAGGACAGAAGATCGCTGCTGGGGACTGAGAGGGGATGGTGGGGTCCAGAGGTGGGGGTGGCGAAGAGAAGCGAGGGACTCGGTGGATAAGGCAGGGGAGACGGAGGAGACAGAGCTGACAACTGGAGGGGGTGGGATTGGAGGTCGGAGGGGCCCGA